TAAATCTCTTAGAAGAGAACATAGGCAAAACATTCTCCGACATAAATCCTAACTGTTTTCTAGGTCAGTCTCCCAAGGCAATAGAAATAAAAGGAAAGACAAACAAATAGAGCATAATCAAACATAAGCTTTTGCAAAGCAAAGAAGCCATAAAAAAAGAGACAACCTGTGGGCTGCTAGAAAATATTTGCAAACAATGCGACTGACAAGGCTTTAACTTTCAGAATATACAAACAACTCATACAACTCAATAAAAAGAAAACAAATGATCCAATCAAAAAGTGGGCGGAAGTTCTAAGCAGACATTTCTCCAATGAAGACATACAGATGAATAATAGGTACATGAAAAGATGCTCAGCTTTGCTAATTATTAGAGAAATGCATATCAACACTGATGAAATATCACCTCACACCCGTCAGAATGGCCATCATTGAAATAATAAATGCTAGAGAGGGTGTGGAGAAAAGAGAACTCTCCTACACTGTTGGTGGTGTGGAAATTGGTGTAGCCACTATAGAAAACAGTATGGAGATTCCTTAAAATATAAAAATAGAGTTACTGTATGATCCGCCAGTACCACTCCTGGGCATATATTTAGAGAAAACTCCAATTCAAAAAGATACATGTGCCCCAACGTACATGGCATCATTATTTACAACAGCCAAGACATGGGAGCAACCCAGGTGTCCGTGGACACATGCCTGGATGAAGAAGATATATATACACACAATGAAATGCTACTCAACCATAAAAAAGAATGAAATAATGCCTTTTGCAGCAACATGGATGGACCTAGAGGTTATCATACTAAGTTAAGTAAGTCAGAGAAAGACAAATACATATCACTTATATGTGGAATCTAAAAAAAAATTAACCATAAATAAACTTACTTACAAAACAGAAAGGGACTCACAGACCAAAAACAAACTGATGCTTACCAAAGGGGAATGCAGGGGGATGGATAAATAAGGAGTTTGGGATTAGCAGATACAAACTACTATATACAAAATAGATAAACAACAAGGTCCTACTATACAGCGCAGAGAACTATATTCTATAACTTGTAATAATAATCTGTAATGAAAAAGAGTACGAAAATGAATATATATGTATAACTGAATCACTATGCTATACACCAGAAATTAATACAACATTGTAAACTGATTATACTTAAATAAAATAAAATGCTTCCATGAAAAAAATTTTAATATGTCCCAAAGGAACTAATGTTCCTGCATTGAAAAGTTAGGTGCTTTAATTGTAATATTTTCAGAGGTTTGGCCTTTACACAAAATTATTATGTAATTTTTATGTACTCTTTCCATTGCTGTATGAAAATTACTGATCCAAGAATAAGGTGCATAAAATATGTGAGAGAAAGGTTAGTGAAGAATTCAAAACTCTACTTGTTATGTCTCAAAATTGCTGGCACACAAGTTTATTCTGACATCTATATGAAATTCATGTGTGGAATCAAAACTGAGTTATGAGTGTTCTTAGGACTTCATGTCACATGGGGGAGACACGTATGTTTCTTATTTCAGTTTTGCCAAGTATGAATCAATTGCAAATTGCAAAAACAACTTTATTTCTTCAGCAACAGATCTACTTTTAAAAAGCTAGTTCCTTAATGTTCTTGCCATTTTAAAACTTCAGAAACCACTTTGGTTAAAAAAGCTGTTAAATCTAGTTTAGGTCTCTAGATTGTTTTGCTGTTCAGTAATTTTCATACACTAAATATGGCTTGAGCTAATTTAGGGCTTCAAAAATACATTAAAGATTTTTATTTAATAATATAATTGGTTTTGGAGTTTTCCGGTCTTAGGATGTTCTTGTTAATGATTATCTTAATTTGAGTGTCTGTTACATTTTTTTGACTGATTAATTTGACTTTTCACTTACTGCTCATTGGAATATTTGAAGGAATTCATCAGTTTCAGATTTCTTAACCAACATTGTTTGTCAAATTCGCATAAGCTGCCGCTCCTAGGAGCCAGGAGGCTGGCCTTTCATACCCCGTGTTGCTCAGTTACTGGTCGTGGGCTGTGGCCCCTACCCTGAGGTTGCTTCCCTTACTGGACGAGGTGGCTCCTGTGAGCTAAGGGTGATTCCCCAGAGAAGGGGGCTGGTGTGAGTCGGTACCAGCCACCGGGCTGGGGTGCAAAGCTGAGGCTGGATCTGGGTGAGGCCCCAGGGCCAGGAGCGTGCACATTTGGGCTCATGCTTACTTAACCACTCAGATTCTCAGTATCCGTTTCAGTAAAATGGAACTAAGAATAACACTAGTCTTGCAAGGACTGTTTTACAAGTTAAGTGATGTAATTTATATAATGCGCTTACCACAGTGCCGGCCATGTAGAAGTGAAGTGCTCCCTGAATCTTAGTTTCTAGAGCTGTTTCCTAAAATGAAATGAGAAAGAAATGTCTTTTACTTTATTGTGAACACATAGTCACCCCATTAAACATCTTTTGTATTTTTCAAGGTAAATGAAACCCAGTTTTGTGTTGATATTCCTGCTGTGAGAAACTTTAAAGTGTCAAATACACAAGATGCTTCAGTGTCCATAGTGGATTACTATGAACCAAGTAAGTGTGTTTTGGAGTTCCTAATACTTTAGGAGGTAAGCCAGGCATTCACTGATTGATTGATTCATTCAAAGTGTCCACCTGCTGGGTTGGTTTTGCTGGGAAGAGTGTTGTAGGTGGGGGAGTGTAAGGGATTGGGGAGCAGGAGGTGAGCTGCCCATTTAAATGAAGACAATTGATAATTTATAAAAATAATCACATGATAGCATTTAGCATATGATATTAAAAAGTGATGTTATTGCTCATAACATTTTAGGTTTTTAACTCACTGTTATTAAACTTTACAAAGAAAACTTGACAAGAGTTCAGGTTTGTTTGGTTTCCAAGGTTCTGCTCCTGTTCCGAGCACCCATTGTGTTTCCAGTTTTAAAAGGCACTTCAGGAGGAAAGGTGGACACCATCCACAGCGGGAAAGCCTCAGCTGGGTTTAGCTCTTTCTTCACTGAGGGAGTCGTCTTCTGCTAAGATTTATACATTATAACAGATTAAAAAAATCATTTCAAGAAAAATATAGTCTTTGGAAAATAACTTGAGCTTCTTTGATTTTACTGATAACTTCTTTATAAAATGTGAGACATTTAGGATGTGAAAGTAGAGATCTAGTTTGGAGATCACCTAAGTTAATTAGGACGGATCTGTGTTCAGGTGCAGACTGACTCTGCGGGTGTGTGGTTTCCCGACTAAAGTTTCACCTCGTAATCGCATTTGTCCTGAACGAGCATTCCTGGTGGCTTTAGAATCATCAGAATGCACGAGTCATGAACATTTTCAGGTGATAGGTGGTTGTAGATAATTACACTTGAAAATACAAGGAACTTTCCCGCATCATTGGTAGTGATGCTGGAGCACCCGTTAAAGACTTGCAGTAGCACCAGCTCTCTCTCCTCCTGAGTCAACAAGCCAGTTCCTCTTGTCTTTTGCCTCCTGTTGGAGCTGGGAAAGAGCCTTCCCCCAGTTCCCGTGGGACATTGTGGGGACGCACTGACGCAGCACTTTTTTTCTGGTGGAAGGATGGAATCCGCTATGGAGACTGGGTGACAGTACCTAGTTATCCAACTTTGTTATTTTATAACCTAGTTGAAAAACTCTCCAACTGACGTTTCTTAGGTGCATGGAGAACATTTCAGACATTTAAGAAGCAAAAAAGATTCAGTCTGTGTAAATTTTTGAGGAAAATAGCTTATGTATGAGGGGGACATTTTAAAATGACAACATTAGAAAGATCAGAATAATAAAAACCAACCAATCCATTATTTGAAAAATATTAAAGTTAGAAAACATTTATAATATTAAAAGTTGATGAAAACACATGAAGAAATTCAAAAATAGAAAGTTTTAAAAGTATTAAAAATAAAAATTTATGTTTTATGGTTAAGTTTACTGTAGTGTTACTGGTGCTTTATATATATATTTTAAATATTAGTTATATTTTATATATTACTTATATAATATATATATTACTATAAAATTTACCCAAGTTGAATAGTTTTAAAGACTGTATGTCAGTGTTTTAAAACACCGAGACAAGGCATTGCACAGGCAGCGTTTTCTTCATGTTTTCACATTTAAAAAATGAAGTCCATGGCAAATATTTCTCTTCAGTAGTTCTAATGATTAACACTTTACTTGAATGCATAGAAAATGTCAGCCTAAATAAACTCTTGAGAAGTTTAAAAAATCCTCCGTTTACAGTCTTCCCTGTTCCAGGCAGTTTCAGGTTGTGGTTGACTTGCAGCGGGCAGCCGTGGTCTGTTTCCTCTCTTTCAACGCTGGCCAGCTGCTGGTGGTGGAGAAGTTGGACCGAAAGCGTTGTTTCTCTCTTGGATTTGGTTAGCAGCTTGGGGCCCCTCGTGAGCATGTCAGTTGTTTCTTGTAAAGAAAAATAAAATTATATGAAGAGTGGAAAACTCGGAAAAGTGTATTGAAATGCTCTTAAGTTCTGGCAAAGTACATGTTTCTAAACAAAGGAGGCATGTAAACTGATGTCTGCCTCTTTGAACAGGGAGACGAGCGGTGAGAAGCTACAACTCCAGAGCGAAGCTGTCCTTCTGTGACCTCTGCGGCGACACTCAGGGCTGCGGGCTCTGTGACAGCGCGGCCTCAGCCTCTCCTTCTCCCCCTCCTGCCAGCCTCCTTTTCTGCTTCACGCTTCTGTTTTCTTTGCAAAGTTGGCTGCGGCTGGTTTTTTAAGTACTCCATGTAACGCTTTCTTTTCCAGAAGTCACATGTGATTGTCTTGTTTTCGTAATCAAATATTGCATCTGATTACTCTGATAATCATTTTTTCTCTTGTAATGGGGTCGGGGGGCGATGGTGGACAACAGGTCCTCGCATGCAGAGCTGCATTGATTTCTTCTCCTGACTTCCGTATGGAACAAAAGTCAAAATTACTGCAGCTGTGATTCTTTATTTCCCCCTCTTAAAACCTTTTAGGACTTCTTTTGGACGGGCTGTTTTCTCCAGAATAAATGTTATTCTAGATGATTCTTTTCATTTTCTAGAGGAAATGAGCCTAGGTTCTTAAGCTTTGCTTTACATCAGCGTCTGCTTAGTATCAACAGGGATGGATTTCCTGGGAGCAAGGAGAAAACACCCCGAGGGCGGAGCTTGTTCTGTCTCTTCTGTACCAGCCTCAGCCTCTGCCCACCACGCCTGCCCCTCTGGTCTCAGTACATCCTTCTTAATCAGGTATTACTTGGACATAGATGGTGATTCTTTTTTTTTTTTTTAAAGGGAAATAAATGGTGGTTTTCCACTCCAGATGTGGTCACATACCCTAGCCCTAACCTTCCTCAGTTTTCCCTCTGGAGAGGAGGAGAGGGTGGATGCGCTTTGCTGTGCCGCCCGCGGTTCAGAGGTTGAGTGTGCTGCGAAGTGCCCGGAGGGCTCCCAGGCACGTTCTCCTCTCGGACCCCAGCCCCACACGTGGGTTCTGTTTAGAGAGCACTGCAACAGGTGCTTTCCGTGACTTGGACCAGAAGATCCTGGATCAGGAGGCACATGCCAGCTAGTCATGGGGGATGCTAAGCCAGGGGAGTGACAGAATCCTGTCTGCGACACAGCAGACTGACCTCCCTGTGGTCTGGGAAAGAAGGTGGGGTTTGACAAGGATCACAGAGATGTGAAGTACAATAGGGCACTGGCCAGGGTCTTGTGGAACCTTCTAGACTCAGATGTCTGAGTGTCAGACTACCAGCTGTCTGGTGACGTCTAATACTTGCTCTCAGTCTTACAGAAGATTCTTAAATTTTGAGCACCTGGGTCACTGGTTCCCCGGTATTGGGAAGGATAATACTCATTTATCTGGGTGAAAACTTTAAAGAAGTTTTCTTCTTTCTTCCCCCTTCCCTGTTTTTTCTCTCTTCCTTCTTTCTTCCTTTCCTTGACGTCTTCCTTTCTTCTTTTCCTTTGAAACATATTGAAATATTTTAGACATGTCAAAAACAGTTTAAAGATCTTTCACTAAATCTAAAAAGTGGTTTAAATTCACCCCCAAACTCCGCAGCATTTCTCGCAAAAGGATGTAGAACCGTGATTGCCATGGGCTCCCAAGAGGCTGCGTTACATACAGTATTTTCATCTGTTTAAAAGTAAATCCAAAAATAAAATATGCAAATGATATCTTTTAAAGTGAGTATTTAAAAGAATGTTGTCATTTTAATGAATTTAAAGAAATTACAGTGGATATTCAGGGATTGTTTAATGGATGTTTTGGATGCAAAGGTAGGAATTTCCAACATTCAGTAATTTTTGAAAGCTTGAAATCTGTATATAGAAAAGAGATGCTAAAAGAGAGGTCTACGGAGAAAGCTAGTAAATATCAAACATGTGATTTCCTTGTATTTACTTTTCAGTAGGGAAAAGTTTTCAGTTGTGTTACGCCTTTGAAACAGTCTGATCTGAAAAAGGCGCTTGTGTTTGTCCTTCCTGTGTGGGGATTTCGGCTTTTATATCCTAGGCTTTCTTTGGAGGTGAAAGTGTCTTGTAATAAAGTTGGAGGATGGTGTTGGCAAAAGATACCCCTTCCCCCTCCCTGGCCAGGGGACCTCAGACTGACCAGCCATAGCTCACATTCTGTAGTTTGTTTTCTGTTCATGCTGGACTTCTAGTGTAGCATCCTGGAAGCACTGGAGTGGAAAGCCATCGGAAGACGACTTGTTGCTTTTTAGACCATGTTTCTTCCTCACTGAAAACTAGAACTCTAATACGTATTTTGTGAATTATTTCAGATTTTCGGGTTAAAAGCTCACCTTGTAACTCAAATTGCAGTGCATCTCTTTTTATTACAAATGTATTAAAAATTGAGGAGCAGGAGGGGGTCGAAGAGGAAGAAGAGAAGGAGGAGCAGGTGGAGGAGAGGGTCGCCAGCGTGGCCTTGAGCTGCATGTGGCCCTTCTTCCTTCTGCCTCCCAGAGCACTGGCTCTCCTACAGCAGCGGGCTTGGCTTACAGGGGACCACAAAGCCACCGGGATGCGGAAGAGAGAGGACACGGCTTAGTAATAAATAGTAATGACTCTTTTCTTCACATGCTATGAATATTAATATTAAAAACCTCATTTCACCTTTAAGTTTGCTTATGCCGACTTTTCCTTTAGAATGCCATCAGCCTTATTTACTGATATGAACTAAGGTCCCCGTCTTCCCCACCAAGAGGGAACCTTATTAAGACACCAGCGTATCTCACTTCCAGCTTGGACTGGCCAGTGATTCCAGAGACTGAACATCGGGAGTAACTAATAGGACAGAACAATGCTGCGGTTTCACCATCTTACTACCTTCTGTTATAATTCTAAGAAAGAAATGAAAGCCCATTAAAATATGCTGGGCCAATGAAATGCTTCCTTTTATTGGACTGCCCTGTTACACTTGTCGCTTATACACACAATGCTATATTCTACACATGGGAATTTTTCGGGATTGTATATAGCAATTCTCCCTGCTTCCATTTGTTTTAAGCTGGCTATATTTTTTTTAAGTTGTATTTAACCATACTTTTTGTTTATATTAAATTTAGTTATAAATAGTCTGGCAATCTAATGCTAATTATCTTTATTTTGATATAGTTCAATTATTTTGATGTAATTCAGTTTGACACCATTCAACATTTCTGGCTGTCCTATGACATTTTTTAAAAATTGGAGCTATGATTTGTCTTTGTCATTCTTTAAAGGCACCATTTCATTAACCATGTAATCTGGAGTTCTTTGTAACAGCCTTACTTTTTCTAATTTGCTTTATTGAAGTTTAATACTGAATTCTATAAAAAATATGGTGTAAATATCTCCTTGTCAAGGTTTCTTAACATAAGGACAGTACTTATTTCGGGTTTGTCAAGTGGCTACCATGGGTCCAGATACCCTGATGTATATTCTTCAGTGCATCATTTTCTTGCACTTTGTAAATCTGAGACCCTTACAGTAAGTGGACTCACTCTTGGATAAGCTTCAGAACCTGATATATCCTCAGTGAGGGCTTCTGTTAGATAGAAGTATATTCCTATTTTTCTTTGTTTTCAAATTCCAATAAAGCATAGCACTTTTAAGAACTTAAAATTTGTCCATCATCTATTCAAATGATATTCATGTTAATATTAAATATCTTAAGTGACATTGGGAGTAATTTGAGGTGCCGTTATTTTTATCGTGACTTTGAGTAGAGGGCTGTCATCCTACTTTCTTCAGGAAAGTAAGCAGTAAATATATATTTTTAATGAAGTATGTGTGAGTGAGAGTCGGCTTGTTTCAAAAGTCTCTGGCTGTTGAGTTGTGTTTTCTGTGCCTCATCAAAAGACAGCACCACGTTGTGTTATTCTGTAAAACGTTGCCATTTCATTTCCATGACCGTAACACAGGAAAATAGAAGTTTTCTGAGTTCTTACTTCAGAGGACATTTATACACTGGTATGTGTGTGTCTCTGTAATGGGGATGATACTGACATACGTGTCGCTACATATTTAAGAATCATTCTGTCTCACGTTGCCATGAAGCCATGATTTACCACTCTTCTGCCTGTGTATTGAATCGGCGGTGGAAGATTGTTCCATGTTCTACTTACAGCTCTTTAAGATTTATCTTTGCTAGGTTTAATAAAGAGTGGCTCTGTTCTGGTCTTTCAAGCCTTTATGTTTTGAATTTTTAAAATAGTAGGGTATAGTTGATGTGGTAGAGACAATTGTTTTTTGTACACAGGAAGCGTTACAAGATTTTATTCATAAATCCTCTCTTTTATAAAGCTGTTTTGCATATGAGAAGGATACTGTTGAAATAAAATACTATTTTTCCAGAAACTAAAGCTTTCTATATGGAACCAGGGTGATTCTGAAAGTTTAAATTTTAGGTGTTTAAGTATTATGTTGTTGTCAATTGTACATGAATATGTATTGAATAGGAAACCATGATTTATCAATAAAAATGAACATTTCCAGCTATTTATTATCAGTGTTGTTTTTATTTTAGCTTAAAATCATGTCATTGGCACATCTCCTTAATTGAACCTGTTTAATGCTGAGATACGGGATATCTGAGGAGGGGTTATTGTGTTATAAGAATTTGACATGAATGAGCTGAAAGGAACTTGACCACGAGCCCCCTTCACCTCCCACCTCATTCTTTGTGTTTGGTGTTGGAGTGGGGTTCGTGGAGAGGTACATGATACACAAAGGAAAACTGTGAGGTGAGGACACGCTAGGCGTCTGGAAACTCTAAAGAAATACAGAAGACACAGTTTGTGTACATAGGAAGACGGGGCTTGGACTCTGGCATCCACAGCCTAACATTTCAGGTACTTTCCTTGATTTCTACTCAGTGTTTATTCATTTATTTTAACACTTTTCCTGCCATGAATTTTCTGGGCTTCTGTGAAGTGTCACAGTTGTTCTTAATTGGGGATGATTTTGACCCCGAATGACACTTGGCAATGACTGGAGGTCATTTTTGTTGTCAGAGTTGGAGGTAGTGGGACTGGCACCAGCGATGCTGCTAGACGTCCCACAGGGCACAGGACGGCCCCACAACAAAGACGAAATACCAGTAAGGGCAAAGTATCAACAGTGCTAGGGTTGAGAAACTCCCTAGCTGAGTGATGCCGGGTACTTCCAGATCACCTAGTAATGTCAATATGATTAGTTTAATGACGTCCATAAACAGCAGCAGAGGCACTGGAATCACTGGGCAGAGATTTAGACTCGCAAATAAATCTATACCCCAATCCTAGGAAACCTAGGCTGGAGACGGGAAAGAGGTGGTAATTTTTTTTTTTTGAAAATGTCTATAATGGTAGGTTCCAAACTTGGATGATTACCAGACTCCCTTAAAAACCTCATTTAACAAAAAAAAACCTTTGGTCTTCTAGAAATCCTAATTCAGTAGTAGGTGTAGGATCAGTTTCTGAATCTGCATTGTGCAGCACCCCGGATTCCAATGATTGCGTCGGTCTCGGAGCCACTAGAATCGGTCACGGTCCTCATGCCCCTGCGGCTCCTCTCCCTCTGATGTGGGTGTGGCCCGTGACTTGCTTGGAGCCAACAGAATTTGGCGAAGGTGACAGATCGCTGCACTCCTCCTGCTGGAGTCTCTCCTGCCTTTTCTGAAGATGTGAGCTCTCGTGTTGCGTGCTGCTGGGTCGGGAGACCCACGTGGCTAGGAAATGAGAGCAGCTTTTAGGAGCTGAGGGCAGCCTCCGGCTGACAGCCAGCTAGAAAATGAAGCCCCTGTGGCTGTAGGGAACTGACTTCTGCCCACAAGAGTGGATCCCTCGCCAGCTAAGCCTCAGCAGAACCTGCAGCCTGATGCTGTGATTTTAGCCACATGAGACCAAACAGGGACTCCAGCTCAGCGCCCAGGCTCGACCCGCAGAAACCGTGACATACCAGATGTGTGCTGTTCTAAACCGTTAATTCTGGGGTCATTTGTTGCACAGCAATAGAAAACTAATACACAAGTTTTGAAATAAATTAATTATGTTTTAACGGAGCCAACCTATCCCTAATTGGTGCACATAGTGTTTCTGTAGTGAACCAAACACGGGCGCGTCAGCCCTGGCACCCAGCACTCCCTGCACTGCCTCTGCCACTTGTGTCACTGGACCAAAGAGAAGCTGTGGAGTCCTCATGGCTTGAGAGCTGCTCGGATCTCCACACTCAGGTGGGGAGATTTCTCTCCCTGACTCCGTGCTATACACTTCATCCCTTGGACAGAGTGGGTCTGCTTGTGCCTCAGTGCTCACAGAGTGTTCAGTGGAAAATGTTCTTTCAACACGTGCTTCTAGTGTCTCTCTCTCTCTCCACTCCTCCCTTGTCCAGGAGGCTGGGCTGCGTGCAGTGAGGTAGAGATACCGTACTGTCCTCCCAGTATGCCTTCTTTCTGACATACACAGTCTCTCTCTCATCTCCCCAAAATTGTCACGCAAAGTGGACTCCTGGTAGCCCTCCCTGCTGGTAGTTCATACATTCATTTATAGATACCGCAGTGGTTAAGAGCGGGGGTTTTGGTGCCAGGCAGGTCTGGGCTCCCATCTTGGCTCTGCCTCTGGTCAGAGAGGAGACCCCTCTTCCCCTCTGGTGTATGTGGGGTGAAATATTCCCTAAGTGATCTCAGGTTCCCTCTTTCCCTAAACTCACTCCAGCCCAATAGAGACAGATTTTTCTGAACTGTCACTTGAGTACGAGTACACTGGCTGCTTCGCCATCTGAGGTCCCATGTGGACACCCGCCTTGGTTCCCTTGTGCTGACCAGGTCTTGCTGTGCCCAGTGCTGCCTGCAGTGGAGGAGGAGTATAGCCAGAGATGGGCCTCCCTGGGCAGGTCTACTCAGTTCTTGCACCAGGCTGTGTCCTCCAACCTGGCTTTTATTAGGAATTGAGTGGGTTTTTTGGTTCCTTCATCTGTTGGTTTTTGTACACAAGGTGGGGATGAAGGCTGCAATTTATTGCATTCCATAGGCCCCCAACAGCTCTACCAAGGGTGTGAACTTGGGTAGGTTTTGCAACATCTGGTACATATGAGGTGTTTAACAAGTTATGGTTGTGACTCTGTGTCTGTCTCTGTCAGTGGATACTTTCATCTCTAACTGTATATGCATAGATTTAGGCAGGAGGGAAGGGAACTGTCCCACTCTCCAGCTAGGTTGTTGCCTCTGGGGGCGTCTGTTTGCAGCCGCAGCCTGTTCTCATGGCCTCTCTGATGCTCACAGTGGACCAGAGAGGATGTTTGCTTGGAGGCTGATGTGTTCTCCCTCCACCCTGCTTTGCTTGGTCATCATTTCTGCTAAGGTGATTCACAGATGGAGCCTGAAGAAGGTTCAAGTAACAATTTATTTAAAGTCACCAGGGATGAATCCAGGTTACTGAGATTCAGATATGTGGGTATTGTGCCCCTTGATCTAGTTATGTTGTCTCATCAGGGTGTCCCGGAACATGAGGCGTCACCTCCCAGACTGCAGTGTCCCGACAAGGACATTTCCGGTGCTGGATTCTTGAAGGTTGATTTTTTAGGTCATCTCCTTCTTCTTTCCCTGTTTTTCATCTCTGTTCTCCGTTCTGAAGTTCCCATCAGCTCCACTTTTTCTATCAGTGGCTCCCTCTCAGGCAGCAGCAAGTTCTAAGTCTCCTTTTTTGCCTTCAGTTTCCTCTTCATCTCTTCATCTGCCAGGAGTCAGAACTTTCTCTCTTCTCTCTATTCTGCTGCAAGGTTACCTCCCTAGGGCAGATGAATGATGAGAGAACTTTTGGAGGATTCTCCACCTGGTTGGTAATTGGCTTTTATTCTCTTTTATGTTATCCCAATTTTCTCAAAGATTAGATAACTGCATGGGTTCCAGATGAGGGAGGCATTAACTGGCAGAATACACAAAACAGACCTGATGGTTAAACAAAGTCAGTGAGAAAAGAGCAAATGCCTCCAGTTTCTCAACAAGGGAGGTGATTCATTTTAGCACAGTCTGCATGTTTCAGGCTGTTTTGCCTGGTTACTAATGTCACAATTTGAGAAGGAAGACCGACCGGAATCCATATGGGGCAGAGCAGCCATGAGGGTGTCAGGAGGAAAGACGAGGGGATTTGGGGATGCTCAGCTGGAGAAAGAAACCATGTGACTGGAACACTGAGCCATACACCAGAAATTGACATGTTGTAACTGACTATGCTTTGATAAAATAAATAAATAAATAAATAAATAAATAAATAAATAAATAAATAAATAAATAAATTGCATTTTTTAAAAAAGGAAGAAACCATGTGGACTATGACACCTTTCTTCAAATATCCGAGAGGCTGCCACCTGCAAGCTTGTTGCAAACCTGTTACAAGTGGGTAGATTTTGGCACAATATTAGGAGGAATCATATAGAACACCTTTATTTCAGATGGTGGTGACTGCCTCGTCCCTGGAGGTGTTAAGCAGAGGCTCATGATCATTAGGGGTGAGCACTTTTTTAAACTAGTATCTTATCCATTGCTGGTCTGCACGGTTTAAAATGGTAAAGGTTAAGAAGTCTTCTGGTTGAGCCGCAGTTACAGATTGAATGGTGTTTCCCAAAAGATACGTTGAAGTCCTAACCCTCAGCACTTCAGAATGTGACCTTATTTGGAAATAGGGTTGCTGCATTATAAGAAGGTGGCCGTGTGGAGACGGAGACACAGGGAGAATGCCACGCAATGTCAAAGACAGAGATTTGATTTATGTGGCTGCCAGCCAAGGAACCCCAAAGATTGCCAGCAGACTAGAAGCCGGAAAGAAGTAAGGAAACATATTTTTACAGGTTTCAGAGGTGAGCATGGTCTTTTTGAGACCTTGAATTCTGACTCCTCAGCTCCAGAAACATGAGACAATACATTTCTGTTGTTTTAAGCCACCCAGTTTGTGGTACTTTGATACAGCAGTCCTTAGATACTAATACAGCTTCCCAGTTTCAGCAAGACCACAGGGGTTAAATGCTGTGGACAAGTGTTACAATGTCTTCTTTTTTGCCTCTACAACTTTTCAAGAGGAAAATTGGGACTTCTGTCTGGCAAGGACCAGGCATTCAGTAAATATTGTGGAATGAATAAAATCACTGCTTTATCTTTAGTTTGAATTCCAGCAGGTTGATGGATTTCCCAGCTCCTGCTGGAAGTCCTGCGGCTTAAGCACTGATGGCTAAGTGTCCACATTTACTCTCTGCGCTCAGCCTCCTTGCCTGCCCGCCTTCACTTCCAGGAGGGAGGCCTGGAGCTCCTCTCCATTCCAGGCTGACTTACTCACTGTGCTTTTTAAAAATAAGCCTTTATAGCAATGATGGCAAATAGAGTGCCTCTTGAATACCAGCTGCAACCATTTGAGAATGGCTGCCCGGAGGAATTCTGCTGGGGATTTTGAGGCCATTTCTGGACCTAGTGGGCACAAGAGCTAGAATCAGCTGTGAGTGTCTGCACAGGTGAGGCAGGGGCAGGTGGT